ATTTTAAAAACTTAGTTTTTAAGGATATACTAGGAGGGGAGTGATGGAGACATAGGAAGGAATAGGAGATTTAAAAATTGAATAGAAACGTTTGGTGATAGCAGCTAGGAAAGATGTTGTTGAAGAGGCAAAGGGGAAGATTGTTAAAAAGAAAGAGTGAAGAAGAGAGATGCTTATGACTGAGGGAACAAGGGGAGAAGAAGATGCGTAAATCGTATACACGAAGACCAGATTATTCTGGAGGAGCGAGAAAAGAGAACAGTGAGAAATGTAGGAAAAGAGGAAAACCCCCGAGTCCTGCGGCTTTCGCGCACAGGACTAGGGGGGAAAAACAACTTTGGGCAACTTCCAATACTTCTGAATATGCTTTGCCAGAATTTCCGATTTCTAAGTGTTAATATTTTACTTTATTGAATTAATTAATTATTTTAATGTTCAAAACACCTAATTTATTAATATTTCGATTTGATTGTAATTTATTTTCGATACTGTACAATTTCAATTCAACTTTTATCTACTCCGTAGATTTTGCGAGATTTTGATCTAGCTTTAATTTTATGTCTTGAATAAATTTTGAAAGTAAGCCAAGATCCAATATTTTGAAAAATGGAGGTGTTACAAAAACACCTAATTTATTAATATTTTAATTTGATTGTAATTTATTTTCGACATTCTACAATTTCAATTCAATTTTTATCTACTCCGTAGATTCTACGAGATTTTGATTTAGCTTCAATTTTATGTTTTGAATAGATTTTGAAAGTAAGTCAAGATCCAATAATATTTTGAAAAATTGAGGTGTTACACGGGTGTCAAGTTGGAACTGCACTCTCTTAAAAATGTCTTAAAAATGTTTCAACAATAGGTTTGTTCAATAGTTCTTGAGAAGTTAGTCCCCGGTCTCGTTCTAAGGGTTTTTTTGGGAACCAGCGGTGAGTAGCGGAGAACCTCTGCCCGCCAAGTTAGGCGTCGTGTTCACGTTTAGCTCGGCTACGGTGGGATTCGTATTGTCGACGGAGGCGATGATTGCAGGGTCTTACTTCCAGACTCGCCGCTACGATTTAGCGCCATGATTTTGTTATCGCCAAAAACCGTAACATTGTGCACCTCCATACTCATCTCTGTACCGTAAGCGTAGTTAAATAATTTAAACAATGACTAACAAACCGGAAGAAAGCATGATTTCTGAATTAGCAGTCGAGAAGCATGACTTTGCAACAACAGAGAAACAAGATGCTCGAGCCTTCCTGAGGGAACGATTTTTACGTGTAGTCACAGGCATAGTCGGTAAGGATACAAATTTTTTAAATAACCATTTGTATTATATTCAATAATCGAAGAAAACGTATTCTTATTTCATTGGCAGTAATTGTTGGTCACATAGAAAATTGAATTGTTCTATAAGAATACTCAAGACGGAGTTTGTTCAATGATTCATGTGATTAGTTGTTTAAAATCTGTTCGTGAAATCTGATATTGAAATTATTGGTTGTCTGATTTTGAATTTGGCTTACCAGCTGCGCAATGCATTTCGGGCCTTTCTTGTACGACGCGTGAAACTTAAGCGCACAAGTGAAATTTCTTAGAATAAATTATTTGGTATGGAATAGGTAAACGGGCAGAATTCCATCTTTTCGAGGATTCACACGTCACTGGTGAATTTCGTGGCTGTGACGTCGACTGCCTAGAAATTTACGTCCGAAATTTGGAAACACCGTTGGGAAAAGTGCCAGAAGCTATTCTGAGAACAACCGACGTCATACATTTTGATTTCGAGGAAATGATTTTGAAGAAAGAATAATTGTTGGTGAGTGACATGATATCTTGAAAATATAAAATTTTGCATTTTTATAAAATAATAACTTTATTCTTGTGAACATGATATAATAAATTATTCCCAGAATTATTCAGATTGCGAGCATTATGATCGACGCATATTGAGCATCGTGTTGATTTCCGAAATAATGCGTCTCAGGTGATCGATGATTTCTTTGAGGTGTCTATTTTTTAAAACAACTTGCTGAAATTGAAATAGTATTATGACAATCATTTCAGGAAGCAAAAATTGTTTTAAAAGGTTTTAAGCCTTACCTCCATGATTTCTTTACTCTCCTCGCAAGCAAGCCTATATGCTTCAGATGTCTTTTTCTCATCAGACTTCATGTCCCATTCTTCTTTTAAAGGAATTAAACTTTCTATGTGCGTATACTCCATACCTTGGAGTTGACAGTTTTCATTGCACTTTTCGTAAATCAGTCTCAAGCGTTTAAATAGTAGTTTCAACATTCGCAACTGTTCTTGTACTTTTGCTTTTTTATCATTAGCTAGACTAGCTCCCTGAGGCGTACCTAAATTCACAGATATCAAATAAATAAGATGTTAAATTGAATCACTTTATAAATCTTTATACAAAATATATACCGTTCGGTGGTTGTAGGACTTTCAACGTTTGAAAAACCTCCAAGGTTCTACTGACGATATCCTGAACAGTTTCTTGTCCAAACCTACAAAGGCTGGCAGTGTTGAACTCCTTATTCTGCTGCTGCTGTTGCTGTACAGGTGGTTGAGTTGGTGGTACTGGAGTTTGTGGCGTTGTTGCCTGATTTCCACCTTGGCTATTTTGCTGTACTAGGACAGCCTGCTGTTGTTGTTGCAACTGCAACTGTTGCTGTTGCATTTGCTGCATGGCTACCGATTGCTGTTGCTGCTGCTGCTGTGCCAGGACCTGTTGGGCATTTGGCATACCCATGGAATTTGAACCAACTCCACCGACACCAACACCAAACTGTTGGGGGTTTACCAATCCTAAACAATATATTTTTAAGTACTTTTCAGCACCGCATCTGATCTACTATATGGAATACATAAAGGTTACAGAAAGAATGACACTTTTTAATACAATATTTATTCCTACAATAACTAACCACCTTGCTGAGGTCCCATAAGACCTGAAACCATTTGTCCACCACCGAACTGAGTTCTCATAGCTGACTGCTGTGCTGCAGGAAAGCCAGATGGGAATTGATGTTGTTGTCCAGCCATTTTCCCTCCTCGTTATACAATTATTCTGGTTGACAATATACCTAAAATAGAACATGATCCCAAAATTTGCAATAATAATACCCAAAGACCATAATTATTATGATATTTCAAAGTTATCCTGTAGAAGAAAGAACAATAAGGTTATGTTATCCTCAAAGTCTTCGATAAATCACGATTACTATAGTGAAAGAACATAAAACAAAATTGATTTACGACAATTATATTGTATTCCTTACAACAGTTGTTGCAATAGTATAATATTATGCTGTACACATTAAAAACGTTTAGATTTTCAGGTTAACTTACTATTCTACGAAGTATTGATCTGTACGTAAACCAAAATACCTTCTTCTCAGTATTGAATCTTCATAACACCGTATGACTAAAATAACTCAACGACGCAAAATCAGTAGAAGCAACATTATACCGTAACGCACGTGCGTAATACTTAAAATCTTCTGCTTGTAACACAATTCTTCTTGTTGACATCACAGCGCGCGGCCATTACTATTCGAGTGGGACTGGTAGGAGACTCATGAATACTTTCGACGCAAGTCAGTGTGCCACCGAAGGCCACCGACTTGACAGGCGGCAAATCATTTTTCAAAGTCACATTACACCATTAAACCATTAAAATTATACGGTATCAAATCAAAATAACTTCTTGTAACTGAAAAAATTGGTCATCAGTAGCCATTATAGGCTCAATTTTCTATGAGTCTTACACCAAATACTTATTGCTTATTCAAGCAAACTAAACAATATTTTTTTTATTCTCAAATTGACAATAATTTCCTGAATGTATAAAATCAAATTCATAGTTATGACATTATAGAATCTTCAACAGATTAACACAGACAATGATAATCAAATAGCTAGAGAAGAAATTTTGTAAAATAAAACATACTAGATAGATAACTGAAATAAAGTTTGACGGTATTCGAATAATGTTCAAACAGGAGATAAGGTCTCCTGGCCAAAAGGAAAATATATGCTAAAGATAGATAATGGTCCTCCACCAAGCACCTTGTCCATCCATGTGTATTCACATGGGGATGTATCTCTTCTTTTTTCCTTCCTTCTTTTTTTTCTCTTTTCTCTGGTGCGATGCGGTCAGTGTCGCCGGCTACACGAAACCAGTCAGTTCCCTGCGTATCGCATGTGTGGTCGACCCAAAACAGTCTGGTGAATATGGAGCGTAGTTCCTGTCGCACGTCGACACGATCCACGTCTTGCGAATATTACAAACTCGCCTTTATCGTTAACGTGCTTATCTTGCTGTTCGTTATCGCGAGAGCGGAGCAATCGACAGGAGAACAGGAAGTCGAAGGAATTCAGGACAAGCAACAATTCCAGGTTGTCGTACCGGAGAGTGGAGCTCGTGGAGAGTCCATTGATCCACCTCGAAGGAATTTCATTGACGGCAGACATTTTGGAAGACCTTACGATTCCGTGGACGTTAGTAGATCAGGAATAGGCAACGTCGCTAACGAAGAGAAAACGATAAAGAAATTCGATTGGTTATCTGCCCTTTCTAAAATAGCAAAGGTACAGTTATCCGACGAAACTCTTTGGAATTCGCGAGTAGCTGGCAGCGGAAGTGGATTGAAGTTTGACAACAAGATTTCTGGTAGCAAAGATCGCGAAGTCACGAGCAATCCTCGCAGTAAGGAAATCATCCAAGAAGATCGTAAAGTTCAGGAGACTAAAATTATGAAGAATTTCAAAGTGGAATTCAAGCCAAGGAAATTTCACTGTCATCCAATAAATGATATTTATATACCAACGGTGGAAAAGAAAATGCCGGCTCATGTCTGTAAACTAGGTGAAAGATCTTTTATACTTTCCAGCGAGAGATTCCTGGAGGACTACAGAGCCCACGTGGACGTTACCGTGGACGAAAGTACCTTTAAACGATTAGTCCCGAATTCCATGACTTCGAGAAGTCCTGGAGTAGACGTCATACCCGCCACGCTGGTCCTGAAATCTGAAGAGGACCACTACAGTATCAGGAAGCCAGGAATAATTCCTTGAGGACCAGGAAATGTTTCGTTACCAATAAAATTAATAATTGTATGCAACGATGAAACTTTGTATAAATGGTATATGTTCATGTATAATATATATATTTCACTAAGAATTTTTCCTATAAAAGTCATCTGGGAGTAACAAGTAATCCCAATTCTCCGTGCGTGTCCTTTTGAAATAAATAACGATATTGTTCCTTCGAGTGCGTCCATAAGTCCTAACTAGCGTAATATCCAGCCAACAGGACCCCGTCTCTCTTTTTTTTCTTTTCTTCTGATCTTTGTCGTGTCTCTTGCTTTGTTAAGGAATGGCACTGTCGCCTCGTACAGAAATAAAGTCCTGGGCGCTGCTACGATACTGAGGAACCTCCAAGGACTTCTGTTCAGCCTCACTCGACTGTTCCTCCAGATGTGAAACACGTTCGGAAAAGACGGAACCGAAATTCTCCGATTCATTCTTGTGCCGATCGTCCTCAGCCTGTTCTTCGGATCCTGACGTTTGCTCTGGGGATTCATCGTCCTCGGGAACCGGTTCCCTCGAGACGCTTCCGAATTTCTGTGCGGCACTGCTAGACTCTGAACTCACTGCAGATTCTACGGTCTCCACACTGGGAACAGGTTCTCCGGATACACTTCCAAATATCTGTGAAATATTATTGGAATCGGATTTTTCGGGTTCGTTCAAAGGATCCGATTCACTGTACAAAGAATCGAATTCCTGGATAGTGTCTTCATGCTGGAGGCTTTCAGAATCGGTGGACTTCAGTTCTTGACTCTCCTCTGTTTTGGAGTCTTCTTCCGTGTCTATCAATGCATTTCTCTCAGGAACAGGATCAGCAGAGACGGTACCAAAATTGCGAGCTGTATTGTGATACTGAGTAAGCTCAGCCGGTAATTCGGGATAATTTGGATTTGGATCAATTAATTCATTGGGTCTGAGTTCATCCTTCTCGATATCCACCTCAATCCTTTCGAAGTCCTCGCTCTTGTCCACTGGAGCCTCACTTACCTGGATGAATCATTCCTTTCGATCAGATTAGTTGATTAAAAGTCTGGACCGATTTCTCACGTGTACGATGAAGTGCTCACCTTGATTACAGCCTCCTTCGATACCGACACTGGCTTCGCTTTTGAGTCCTTTGGATTCTTAGCCAGGAGTCCGTCCACCGCACGATCATCCTGTTCGGTGATCTTGCTGACTTTTGGATTGTGCAATTCGTAGACGGATACCAATTTTGGGATGGGCACCTTATCGCCTTCTTCGCTGGATTGTTCTTGGTTCGATTTGTCACCTCTCGTGGGCTCTGACTCATTGGGCTCTAGGGAGGAGTCGTGATCCTCGTCTGGGTGCTCGAAGGAAGAAGAGTCCAGGACGTAGCCGGACTGTATTTTTGGAACGTTCTAAAAATTCAAATATTTTCATAGTGAATTTTATTTTTTGAAAATTTTCCTTATTTTTTGTCCTACCTTGTAAACGGCATGATTTTCGTTAAAAGCTTCGGCCAGTGCAGGGTTGATGTCCTCTAAGGGTTGATCGCCGTACCTGATGTAGACGGGGATGTAACCCGGAATACTTGGCAAGAGCTGTAGGGGTAGTCCGCCTATTAAAAATAATATTACCAGTCAACACGATATTTACATAAATCCATAAATACTAATTCCTAGTCACTTTCACACGAATGACAAAAGTCCCAAATTCCCAGGCTGGTTTCGCTTCTTGAAAAGTCACTTCACACCTCGTGTAACACTTTCGTATAAATTGAATCTACTCACTGGTATCGCTAATAAGACTGAAAAGGGAGGCCAGCAGGAAGATGGCCCCCGTTCCACGCAGCATCCCAGCAGCTTGCATCTTTGAACGGTACTGGGCCCCCCGTCTATGGGGCCCTCTCCTTTATATCTACGAGCCCCTACCCTCCCGCTGGAGGAGAAGGTCCCCTCGGGGTTCCATCCATCCCGTTAATATTCGAACAAAAAGGGGGAATCGCTTGGCTATTTTCAGAAGACGAACAATGTGAAAATGAGGGAAAAAATATCGGTGAACGTTAAACGAACCCACGGTCCAGAACGGATCATTTGAATCTGTCGTCAAAGAGTTTACGTGAAGTCTATACCGACGTGAGGCTGCTGTCAAAAGAAATAGAAAAATAAAGTAAAAACAAATCAACGAATTCGAAATGGAACGAATGTCTCTTTGATCTTTTAAAAGGCGTCATGAAGCAGCACCGGTACAAACCAGTGGCTCATCGGGAACAGTACTCCCGGCGCGATTGAAATTGAGAAAATTACAGGAAACTTTAAGTGGAGCTGGGACGTTTGAAATCAAAGACCATTTGCTATGAGGCTTCGGCGCCAGAATGCCGGTTGGATTTTGTTATCTGAGAAACCGGATTGATTCGAAGCCTTGAAGCATCGTCTTCCTGGTCTAGACCAATTTCGTTACTTGGCCAACGGGCTTGGTAAAATGCATGCAAAAGAAATGTCACAAGGCGACCTCCAGGTTCCAACGTACGTCAGGGAACAAAGGTCTGATTATGGGCTGAACTCGAAGCTAGCTCTGATCTTGGAGAATCTGAAGAATACATACCGACAATTCGCATTCGTTAGCGGAATTCAAAAAGTGACCTTCGACCGAATCATGTGGGCCTTACGAACTCGCAGGTATCGTACTGGCCTTTCGTAATGGCGATGACGATTGTGATCCATGTGAAAGTGAACCTGCGCCACAGCTGTGCCGAACGCGAGCTGATGATTCAGCCAGCCAACAAGAGCCGTGAGCACACGGAGGCGGAGCGCAGAACAAGATTCCCCAACCTGAGTTAGACGTTAACGCGATCGTTAAACATGGAACAGTAAGCTGGTCCTGGCGATTATTCTTGTGTTGACAAAGTTGAACGACCTCGATTCTTCGTTATATCCTTTTTGCCTTCAGATTTCTTTGGCCAGGAGAGAAGAGAAGAGATGGAGGGAAGAGAATATAAAAGGAAAGATGGCGACTCGAAGGCAGTCACGAAATCGCGCTCTTTCTTTAGAGAATCCATTTTATTACCGGTCATTCCGCCAAGATCGCCCATGGACCAAGCTGTAATCCATGATCCTTTCACGGAAGGCTGAACAAAGCAGAATCCCAGCACTAGAGAGAAGCGACCACGGGAAAGCCATATAGGCATATCAATAAGAACAGGTAAGCGAAGATGAATATATGTATATAAAGATGAATGCTCATCCTGTTTTTGTTTTAGATTAAAACGGGAGTCTCGTCAAAGATAAGCATTACGCACGAGCGCTCTAGGCAGCTAGGCTGATGCTTGGATAAAGTCTAGCGTAGCGTGAGCACGTGCAAAGAGATCTTAACCGAGGTGAAAATTAATGCAAGTGGCTCTGGCTACTTTAGCAAGGTTAAGGCAGTTAAGAGTTAGCTAACGAGCTCACCGACTCCGAGCTACCGTTAGATGTTTTGCTTTTTTACACTCGTACACATCATCTCGTCAAGTGAATTGCGCTCCAGTTGCCACACCGATATTATTCAGCATAAATTTCATCCTTTCGATCGAAGAACGACGAACTGCCCACGCTGGAATAATTTGGCGACCCGTTAACGCTAGTGGGATATAGGATTTTCTATCTTCAATGGAAAAATTGGAAAAACCTCAAGAACCTGTTTGTCCAGCGACTGGTTATCAGATCCGTTTCCTACTGATTAATAATAAGCAGCATCCTCTGTCTCTCCTTGTGCTATGACAGCGTTCGAACAAAGATTCGCCTAGGACTCTCAACTTCTTCGTGGTTATAAATTTGTGAAATTTGGATTTTTCCTCGTGGGCTCCGTGCATGGTGCGACGAACGATGAAAGGATCTTCTGGACCAACTGGAAAGTACAGAAGGACGATCGAAGTGAATCTGCCAAAGGAGAAGAAAAACTGGAGCCTGTTCATCCGAGTGAAGTTCCTCTCTGGAATAAAAGAAAAAATCTAGTAAACTCTCATGGACCACGGAATCGATTTCCGCGTGTGACCAATGGCCTTTGTTCACAAAGTCACGTAAATTTTTTCCTCTGAAAATGCTCTGTACCGCTAAGCAAACACGTTCCTTAGTCTAATTCTTGTGCCGGTGGCAAAGGATTCAGGAGTGACAACAATGTGACCTTAGCTGTTACACGTATGTCTGCGCTTCACGAGCTACGTGCTGCACGTTACATGCTCTTTTACGAGTTTTCACTCTTTTACGATAGTCCCATAGAGCTAATAGCTCCCGTCACAAGGTCGAACTTCATCGATGACTGACTGGTTCATAAATCCTGGAAAACTGGAAAATATTCACCTTCTGTCTATGCCCGATAAACACTACGGCGTATAAGCAGCTTGCGAAAGTGCAGCACGTTATGAAACTAATTCCCTTCAATTAGATTAAGCGTTAACTGTACAATTGTAGTCGTGAGAGAATATTTATAGAAAAATTCTTTAAATTCTTGTAGCAGTCTCTAAGTATCTATAAGTAGCCAGATGGATACCTGTACTATTATTACAATGAGTATACATATAGTCATTTCCTAGCTATCATATCTAAAATCACAATGTATCCTGGGTGAAAGGTCAGGAACATTGACTGGAGTCATAGGAAGAAGCTGGACAGTTGATCACCGACAGGTTTTAGTCATATGCAATCACGGAGCGAGTCTATGTATCGGTATACCATGGCGAGGCTTAAAATTGCGTCACTTTCCATTTTATACCGCATACCGATCAACCTGTTAGGCTGCGCGATCATTAAGTCATCTTTTACCTCTGAGAGGAAGAAATCAACTATTGATTTTTAGTTACTTAGGTAGAATCAAGTATAAGATTTTATACACAAAAGAATCACGCTCAACCTCTTGACAGATTGATTGCTCAATTTATCGTATTATCGGTATCTATCAATTAAATTTTATTTATCCCGTCCAATTATTTTCGAATGGATTTTTTTATTTTGGGATAAAGTATAGCAAATTGAATATATAAATTTTACGGTCAGTCGCAATGGCTTTTTAATGTCCCGCGCACTGGTGCCATAACGTGTCTATCCAGTACCTCGTTGTAATAACGGAGCAGGATGGGCCTATTGCAATCTAGGGCGCGTAACATTGCTAATCAAGGTCGACGGTCAATTGGTTCCCAAGTTACTACCGTAATGCACAGAGTTTTCGATTTTCTCGTGACTTCGTAGAATCATGAGATCTCAGACGCTGCGTAGAGAATCATGCGTGCTAAATGACCTGCGCGAACTTGGAACCGGTTCCTTTCAGCGATGTATCTTTGCAGTTACAATTTACCACGTGTATCTCGTTGCTACAGTAACGCAAAGTAAATGCTGCTCGTTTTAGGATCGTTACACGATAATTCTCACGATTCGATCGGATACACTCTTGTCATTAAAATGATCCTAAAAGGCTCTCGACTGGAATATATTATACAATGTAATCCAAATGTACAGTTGGTCAATTAGTCACTCGGCTATCTTGATCAATCTCAATTTATTCCTGAATGGTACACATATCACGGGAACTGTAATTAAGTTGATAAGAACCGGGATCGGCTTGTTAACGACTTCGAATTTGTTACATAAAAACGATGAAAATAATCTCGGATACATAAAATTATACCCGGATGAAAACTACGTCCAGACCTTGATGATCCTGATGGACGTCATTCAACGGTCCCTCCGGGCCTTATTGTCCAATGAATCATATCCGAAGTCTCTTTTGTGGGTTACATTATTCATCGACAAATAATCAATCCTATTGATCGGTTTTCAATGCTCTACGCCTGTTCCGTGAGTTCTCCGTGAACAAGGATCTTCACGTGCCCGAAGGCAAGCTGGTAAAGTTTGTTTTACACGAAGATCACTTTTTACTACGTTCTCTCCGGTTCGCCCAGTTTTTCCAAGATACTCCAGCACATGCCGTGTATGTTTCTCTGTGCTCCATTATATCTACCTTCTATAAACCAACCGATCTCCCCACTCTTGCCAAGAGTTGAACGACCGGAAAAGGAACCCTAAGAAAAATTCAGACTCCTTTTATTATCTGGACCAGAACGATATTCGCAGATTCTCTTCTCATTCTCTGTCTCTGACCCGTCGACACGCAAACCCACATTTTCCATAGGCCTTCCTATCTCAAGGGGATCCTGATCATCAGAGTCATCATTACAATGTCTCAATGACTAGAGGCATACACGTATACTACCACCCAGGATGACGAAGTAAGTCGGCCATTACTGGTACCGCAAATCAAAATAAAAATTGAAGTTTCGTCTCGGACTAACTTGCTGCCAAACGGCTTCAGATTTCTCAATCCGTCCCTCTGAACTTGCACTGGGACTGAGATTAGGCTTCGCTCGAAAATCCAGCATGAACTCATTTCTTTTTCTACCTATTTGGTAAACACGCGCCCATTTTTATTCCTCTTTTCAACGGGCCCCTATTTACTCCCAAATCAGGCCCCTCTGCCCCCTGCGTACACGGTACTCGAATTCTTGGACTTTTTGAACGACTCCTGGACGGAGATGCGGTCGACTCATTTCGGCAGGGAATTCGTTCCGTGCGAGCTCAGGAAAATAAAGAATCGGAACGTTACCGTTAGCTTCACCCAACGAAGGCCCATGATTATGGGAGCGCGGACGTTACCAACCGCTCTTGGTACTTGTGGTATCCCTGCCGATGCTCTTGGTGCCACCTTACCTGCTCCTCTGCTCTTCTGCTCCACCTTGGTCCTTGGGACTGGCTAGCTGCTCTACCTGTTCTACAGTATTTATAGAACAGATCCTGGAATCGCGATGTAGGACATCAGGCGGATTTCTGTCTTGCCGCTTCGAAGAAAATTTCGTTAATCTTGCCGGAAATGATATTATTATTTTTCCTCTTTGATACGGTACAATCTTTATTAATGCAGGTCAGTTTTTCAACCAGTCACTGAACCATGCAGGCGCGTCACGTTTTGCTGATGGTAATGAGGGTTCCTCTGTACTTTCTACTGGGACTGTTATGATGTTTATGTCGTTCTGTACTTTGAATTTTTCCATTGCTACCTCAGGCACTTTTCCAGCGAACTGCTTTTACGTATTTCCTGGATCTCAATTTTCTGCCCTGGGCTATTGGATTTCGGGCCCACGACTCTTTCACTGAGAATTACTCCACTCGGCCTAATGTAATGATCGGAAAATGTTTGATATATAGATAGACATTTCCGTGACGGTTGCTTAACGAGTCGACGTCATTTTCGAATATTCACCAGAGCGACGCTCGCCTATATATTAGGCGGCTGTCAAATTTGAAAAGCATTAGTTTACGAAACTTAGAACCATGAAGTTTCTACTCCTGGGACTTGTCTGCGTGTTCCCATTGGCCGTACTTGCCAGTGGGTCTTCGGCTTCCGCTTCTAGCAGTGCTTCCAATACATCCGGCGGACAACATGGTAATTAAAATTTTTTTCTCTTCTCCTCTAATACGCGATAATTAAAATAGCTGATTTACCGTTTCGTTGAATTAATTGGATGCCTTGTTGCAGCAGGAAGTGCAGCACAGAGTTTTGCTGCAAGCTCAGCCGATGCTGCCAGCAACGGAGCTCTGGCTGGTGCTGCCGGTGGAGCGTTTGGGTCAGTCTACAACGGAAATCCGTTTTTGAACGGACAAGGAGTTCTCGAAGGATCCGCCTCAGGCTCCAGTTCCTCGAGTTCACGGTCCGCATCTAACGCTGAGAGTTCTTCGTCGTTGAACTTCGAAGGATCTTCGTCAGGATCTAGTAATCTTCTTGGAGTTCTCAGTGGTTCAGTTACAACCGGAAATGCTGGAGCGAAATCGAATGCTCATGCCAATTCTAACACTCAGGTTAACGCGAATGCCAATCAGCAACAGCATGGAAATCATCAAGCTGGCGCAATTGCCAACGCAAATGCTCATAACAATGCTCAGGGCTCCGAATATCAGAATAATCAAGGCAGTTATCAACAGAATCAACAAGAACAGGCCAACGCCAATACTTTGACCCAGCAAAGTGGATCCCAAATTCAGGGTTCAGGTGCCATCACTAATGCTGGCCACAGTGAGATTAAAGGGAAAAATCAGAATCACGGAAATGACAATCTCAAAGGCAAAATCACTCATTATGCTCAAAGTGGGCCGGTCGTTCACATAGTTTACGCTGACAATGATCAGTCCAATAACGCTGATGGTGCTAATGAGGGTTCTGGATCTACCGATGCTGCTGGATCTGTGGCTTCTCAGGTGAGTTCAGATATATCTAATGTTGAACTAAAGGTTGAAATTTCGAACTGAAAAAATTTAATACCTGGAACCTTCTTTTTTGGTACAGGGTCAAGTTGGCAATCAGGCATCTCAGTCCCTTGGAAATGCTGCATCAGGTATTTCCGGTAATACCCAGGGCTCTTTGAATTCGAATGCAGGACACACCGCCACTTCTGCCAGCAATGCTAACTCTAATGCCAATGCCAATGCCAATTCTAATGCCGGTGATGGTTTCGCAACTGGTAGTAAATCAAGCAGCTCGTTCGGTGCAAATGGAAATGCTGCAGCCTCCGCAAACGCTGGCGCCGCCGCATTCTCAGACGCCGGTGCGGCTGGATCTGCAGGCGCTACTGCTCAGGCAGCATCAAATGACAAAGCAGGTGCATCCGGAAGTTTCAAATTGAACGCAAGTTCTAGCCACTCCGAATCATCTAGTAGCAGCTCTTCTAATTCCAACAGCGAGTCCTTCAATTATCAATTTAAATTATGAATAATGTAATTTTGAAATTTAAAAAAGGAACTTTATTAATTTTTTATAATGCATGTAACCCGATGTCGATTCATCGATAATCCAATAAATAAATAAAAAATTAACGCTATTTATTCAACAATATATCGGTTTATTATCTGTTTAAGATAATCTTATAAACAGTTTCTACATAATAAACACTTAACGAGTATTGACAAACTTCATTCTATCGAAGCTTGTGATATTACAAATGCTTTCCAAACGTTACTTTCTCTGAGACTGTTGCGATCATTATTTTCGAAATCACTTTCCCCTGAAACAATCACGGGTTGCTTAGTTTTATGAATTTCTTGGAAAATACAAATAAAATTCCTTACCAAGACGATGCGGAGGCCGAGGCTTGTGCGTATGCTCCACCTCCACCTCCACCTCCACCACTGAAAAGTAAATTGTGGATTTAGATAAATATTATTAATAAAAAAATCTTAAACCAATCCACAATCATCTTACCCTCCGCAAACGCTACAACTTGAGCCGCCATACGAAGGCTGATGATAATGTTCACCACCACTTGGTTTACTATAGCCGCCGCTATATGGTACTATAGAAACTGGTATCACTGCGATAGGTATACCACCACCGTAACCACCGCCTCCGCCATAACCGCCGCCACCATAGCCACCTAAAAAAAAAATCACGCATGATTTTTTTAAATTTTTGGAAGAAACGACTTTTTATTTAAAAAATATTAATTCTGTTGATTGCACCTTTGCCACCCTTCTTCTTACATTTTAGGCAACGCTTCCTTCGGATCTTCTTCAACTCAACCTTCATCTTCCCTTTCATCTTAAGGTCCTTCGTATCAGGATTAACGAACTTCGTTTCTCCACTCTCTTCAACAATCCTTTCGACTTGATATCCTTCGTCCTCCAGGTCCTTGGCAAGACCATCCAGGCTACGTGGTTCTTCTTCATCCTCGATAACCAACAATACCGATGCTAGTGGTCCTGCCAAAAAGTTTTAAGATTAGACTCAGAGTCTTCTACATGAACCTTCAAGGTTTAAGTGTACCTACCTATGATTTCCGGTTCCTCTTCAGGTACCAGACTTCCCTCCTCCCCGTCGGTCGAATTTGAAGTTGTATTCTTCACCGCGTAAAGATTTATGAGATAAACAAATCCATGATGCTCGTCATCTCCCACTAGGGGTGGCTTCAAGTCCGTAGCAAGTGTGATATCGTCTACAGAAGGTACAGTGGTCTCTACAGGAACAAAAATTTTATAAAAATACCACCTTTACCCCAATATCAAAATAATATATGATAAATCTTTTCCAGACAAACTTACCAAGCTCGGTTATTAACGGAGCAGCAGCTGTTAGCGAGACAGTGGAGATGAGTAGGAAACTCAGTATCCCGATCTTTGTCATTTTATCTCTAAATGCAGATCCAGTGATCCGCTGCTGCACTGCGCAAGGATCTTTGATTCAGCCGCTTTTATAGCGAACGATTCTTCCACACGTATAATACCTGGAAAGTTGCATAACTGGAGAATCAGGTAAATAACTATACATACGAAGGCTGATCAATTGTCGTCGTATGGTTAGCAGAGTCGAGTATAACTATTATTTCAAGTTTAACATTTTTCTTTCAGTCACTAAAGCATTTCTACGTGGGACACCCGGTATGCATCCCAGGTCGGCCGTCGGTTCCATCCACAGAGTTTCGTGCACACGGGGAATGACGGTTTGCGGTTTTCACAGTGCACCATATGCGGTTCAGCAAACATCATCAGGCCCTGCGTTCACCGACTTGCAATTCCGAGGAGAAGTTCACGTTCCAACTTACATGGAAGCCAACAGTGAAGCACCTTGTTTTAGTTTTAAGTGCGAGAATGACGTATTCAATTTTTTGTGACTACGTCACTCTACATGCATTTGGATGCACGTCACGTGGCTGATGCTTCGCCACTCCTTGTTACTTTATTCGAATCTATAAAATAATTGTCTGCCTCTTCATCGCGATATTTTGTATTTTCGATAATTTCCATTTATTTTATTCTACAAGAGTCCTTCGGCTAGGGCAATGACAAGTTTAATTAATGAAATAACTCTAACGATGTTTCTTCTTGTAATCTACGCAAGAACTCTTCTTCCTGCTGACTGTAGAATGTTAATACCATTTAGCCTTGAGTATCTGTGTGAACGTAATGATATTCTATAGTACCATGATTACTTTTGTGAAAGAAATTATAAAGCGAGAATATTCCATAGGAAAACGTGCCTAATGATGATTGCGATAATGGTCATTTATTAGAAAATAAAAAATACGGCACGTAGAACCTCAGAGCCCGGTACACTACACTCTGTCAATTTTTTTTTAGTTTTTAGAATGTGAACCACGGAACCCTCTTCGTAACAGCTCCATGAGAAACTTAGTTGTGAGAAACCAAGACGTTAAAACGCTAGAGCCTAATTATCTCGAACAATAGGTTCATTAAAATTTAATAAGATGCATCAGAAGATTTTCAATTCTCCCTGGTTTTCTATACCAGGAAATCGATCTCGCCAATGCCTAATCGACTGGCCATTATTTCAAATTATGGATTAAAAATATATATTTGTAGAACGTCTATAATTAATAATCATTGTTTATCGATTCACCAGTTCCTGGATTCTAAGTATCTATATAAGTGTTTACGTTTATTCTTACTCTCTTACCGATGTCTCAGCATCGCTGCAGTGCAATGAATCGATCATTTAATCATCCTGTAGAATAATCTCATTCAGCATTTACGTTCAAGACAATTTATTCTTGACATAAAGAGAAACGAATGTGCATCCAAGAGCAGGGCCAGTCTGCTTGCGTCGCATGATTTTATTTTCATCCCTGTATACTGTCCAGTTGCAGTTGCATACAGGATCTGAGCTCAGAGATTTTTCCATGACGATTAAATCGAGCAGAGAAATACAACGTCCTGCGCATCATTAACTGTTTTGTATGCATATGTACACTTGCAGTTACAGTTTCCTGAACGATTATACCTATACGATGAATTAAGCAATATAAGTTCTTCCAGAAAAAGCACAGTATTATTAGACATTGTTTTTGAATACACAAAATATTATTTTTAACTTGCCGTAGAATAGAGGTACGTGCCTGCTAGTCAATTGCGTCTGTCACGTGTATATGAATAATTGAATAATGTTAATGTAAACTTTTTGTTTTGTACGTACATAGACAGTTTAATGTTTCAATATGATAAACATATTAATCTCTCTTTTAGGTGAACTGTGGACGTTGAGCTGTTTCTTTTAAGTATTGCCGCCTACGAGCTGCAGGGTAAGTCAAAATATGATAAGATTAATTTTTAAGTGATTTAAGTAAACATGTGTCTATTACGTAATATTTATCCATGTACAATATTGTGAGTCAACATTGGACTGTGTAATCTATACGTACAGCGATTAGTTTGAGAAAATGTAGCCGTAGGCTAAATTTCCAAAAAGCGAAATGCGGAAACACCGCGTGTGCTGATTATGTCAAAAAGAATGCAGTCCAGCGATGCACCGGTGCATCCAGTGCATCGATCGAGTGCAGGTTTATTACCGATGCTCGATAAGAGAGCAGTCGATGAGTTCGTTGACTGAGTATGAATAGGGGAGACATGCCCGTATATTTTGTGCCGCGCGATTCTGATATTTAAAATGTATATCTATATATAACATTTTAATGGCTAAAGCCCATCTGTAAGGGTCTTGAAACCCTCGCTCGCGTGACACCATATCCCATAAGATGTCCAGCCTCTTCAGTGAACGGTTCGATCGAACGTGTCGGTAAAGAAGATTTGACCAGTCACCTTATTACCATAGCTTCTCCTAGATGTCACTGTGGATTCAACAATGGGATTCAGCCTACGTTTTAACCTTCACCTTACTCAACCTTCACCTACTTATCCGGATTTACTTGGCCGGTCTTATGTCGACTTCGTCGCGCCAGCGTATTGCATATATGTTATTGAAATATACATGACTTAATATTACACAAACAGTCCGAGAGAAAAGTTTTAATTTCGTTCTTATTCGCAAAATCAAGTTCTCCTATTTTTCTCTCATTCTTTCCTGCGTGTATTAATAATTATAATAAACACTGGCGTTCATTCATCACTTCACCGTGAACACTAATTTACCTAGAAGCTAATTTCTTAGAAGACCATTCACTGCCAATAGGACGGTCGGTACAATTAAAATGATATTACGTAACTTGTTTGTAATTACCGAGGTTTTTTAATTGGCTAACGTCTTTTATTTCTTCAAGGTGCAAATCACTCATCTTGATTTTGCGAGTCGGCAGACTCGCAAATTCTCACGACTTCTTGAACTTTTCGGAACGATCTTCATATTAAATAACTTGGATGACTGCTGTACGTTCGTCTGATTAGCATAAATATTTTTAGAACATTTAAAAAAGTCAGCTATAAAAATGAATAATCTTGAATATAGATAAATAATAAATTAATTAAATATCAAAAAGTTCAGCCACGGAATCGCTAATTTCCGTGATAATAGTATCAATTGGATTTCTGTTCTTCTTCTTTGCTCTGTTCTCTTGGTTGTCCCTTGCCGGCTGGCTCCTGACAAACTCTCTTGGAATATCTTGATTCCTCTCAGCAGGAAATCTGACGAAAGAAACGGAACCTGCATTTGCAGTACCGTGGACCATTCCAATTCCACTGGCCTGATTGTTAACTTGTCCTCTCGAACTTTCTCCCCTATTACCGGAAGCTGCACTGCCCACAGATTGTCCGTTTCCTTGGGAGCTTCCGGAAATTGCACTGGAACTGAAACTTGCATCAGTTTGTCCATTGGCGTTTTGCCCAAGTGCTGCCGAGGCACCCTGTGAGAATCCTTGGGCATTTCCCGATGTCTGGACTTGATTCGAGGTTGATGAAAATGGGCCGTTAGGTCCATTTTGACTTTGGGACGACGATTGACTAAAAGAAAATCCATTTCCCATTGACGACGCACCGGAACTCGCGGATGCTGCCGAGATCTGTACTTCGGGTCTCTCGTTGGCCAAATTATTTCCGCAAGCGGAATTTGAATCGTAGTAATTTCCAAATTTCGAATTTGAAGCCTGTCGACGTGATTCTGAATTTCCGCAATTTCTCACCGGCCAGACTGGTCTCCCTGGTCGTGGTCCACGCTGTCCGTGATTTAGGACGTGAATCTCTGGCCTACGGTTTTCCCATCTACCATTTGGCTCGACTTCAAGTCGAATTGGTCCTCTGTGATTATTCGCCACCCATTTCTGTGGCCGCTGACCAGTGACGAATGTCGGGTTATTCGATGGCACCGATGATGGTCTTCGATGATGACCAAAATCATGGACCTCGTAATTGGGACCAATATTGGTCCATGTTGGTCTACCTTGTCCATGTCCAGCGTTTTGAAAAGCCGTCGATTCCGCACCGGATGACGCTTGCCCATTTCCTGCAGCAGATTGAGCACCGGATGCTGCGCCAGATGCAGAATTTCCAACGCTAGACTGCGCACCACTTACAGCCTGTCCATTTTCAACTTTTCCATGAGACGAAGCATTCGCATCTCCAATACTGAACGAATTGCTATTGGCCTCGGAAGTACCCCCGAATAACGGGTGATTCAAATTGAACGCATTAGAATCCGCAGCGGAAATTCCAGAAAGTCCCGCAGAAAACGAAGCGGATTGACTAGCTGAAAGAGCCGATCTACAAAAAAAAAAAAATAGTCAATTCGTAAAATCTGTTTTGTTTCCCTCTGAATAAAAAGGCCTGTTCACATGAATAAACGTACCCTCCGTTTACAAGGGATCCTTCGGCCTGACTCGCACTCTGCGACAGACTTAGACCATCGCGATTCCCACCGAGAGTCAAAGAGTGCGAATTCCTGTCGCCAGCGCTCAATGAAAATGTCGCTGAAAATGGAAGAAATCTGGCCTGTGGCGACGAATCCTTAAGGCGGCCTTTCCCAGCCGGCTCTGGCGTCAATTCCGGCGGCGTGTTCCAACGCCTCTCGTCCTCTTCGTTGAAGTGGATACGATCGTCTATTGAAAAATGAAAAATTAAAAGAAAAACAATTTATTCATATCTGCATGGTAATACTGCGCGTTAAATATATTTTGATTTGTCATCGGACTTTATTTAAGTTTGCTACTCCGCGACACTTGTACCAACCTATTCTCGCGTCATCGCTTGTTTTTCATCGCGAAATACTGGTTCGCCTTTACCTTTAAATGCAACTTCTACAGTCTCGAGAGACATTTCTTCGCGACATGCGGAGTCTGACACTGACAGCAAAATCCACGTGGGCATTTTTGACAGCTCGTTAACAAGTATGTATACACCAATGATATTTTATTATTACGTTGCGCCTCTGTGATTTTTGATGATTAATGATTCTTACCCGCGTACGAGATAATCCACGTCACTGATAAGACACAGAATATTATCTTGACTGTACACTTCGCCATGACTGAATCAGGTCTGAGCGAAGCGATCGGAAGCCCTGCTCTTTTTTAACAAGTGTACTCGACCTTAACAGACCTTATTAAGATGCGTGCTGCGTCTCGCTATGTAATGGCTTATTCGTTATTGCCGTGCAGTCATCCGATCACGCGTCTTTAAGAAATCGATACTGATCGGTTTGGCATTTTATTGATCTTTAGACTTACCTTTACTCGCTACGTGGGACGACGGTTGATAATTATTTTCGAAAATTCTCAAAGCTTCGCTGGGATATCATTTCATATAGTACTCTTTCCCCCATTGACGGACTTTGCAACTGTGGAAATTAATTGGCAATATTTAATCGATGCTATTGCATACTGACAATGAGTGACGATCGAGGTCCTTGAGGATTCCCGAAGCATTATTGTGACTGGGCTAAGGCTGACTTAGGTAACTATTTATTCGGAATTGATAGACATGAGTGGACTTGGATCCGGGTTCAATTATTATTGTATATTCAATTGTTACGATATGGGGAATTAATAATTGCTTCGCTTAGTTTCGATACATTTATTTACGTATATATAGTATATTTTATATCACACGACGTACAGTTCTTCCTTTCCATTGGGAAGGATTGAGTTACATAAAAAAAAAAAATTTTGAATTCAATAAATCGTAATAAAATTTTCATCTATCCTAGAATCGTTAGTCATTTATTTCTTTAGGGGGCTCTTCCGGTTTCTTCTCTTCGGTCTCTTCCGGTCCTTTAATCACTGGTTTTTCGGTACCATCGTCCTTCTTCTTATCGGTTGTATTCTCTGTATTTGTCACAGTAGGAGAACTGACACTTGGTGTGGATGGGACTTTATCCTTTTGGGGTACCTCTTCCTTTTCACCCTGCTTGGCAATCGTCGGGACACACGTTGGCTTCTCCTCCTTTTTTGTTTCCGGGCAGGGAGCGCATCCTTTGGTTGTAGGACCTGTATGAAAAATCTTGTCAGCTTCCGCCACCAGAGGATTCGATTTAATTTGTTTATTGAGCGACTCGAAAAACGCGTAAGGAGTGTTTTTCTTATTTTCATTAGTCTTCTCTAAGTGAGTGAGCGTTTTAAACAAATTTTTATTTTTTTCAAAATTATGAAGTACGTCATGTACTTTTTCAAAATCTTTCGATAACTTTATATGCTCCATGCGTGTTCCATTTTTTTCTTTATCATTCGACAGAAATTCACCAAGGATATGATTAGGTTTGACAGGACCTGCTTGACCGAAGCGAAGAGCGCTTTGATCATCAGTATTTTGAGTAGCATTTTGATTTCTAAGAGATACTTCAGTATCTTTAATTTGAGGTCCCTTAGAATCAGGACTAGCAGGATTACTGTAACTACTTGCGAGACCTTTCCAATTAACCGAAGGATCCTGGACACTGCTTTTGTTATTATCAGTAAGGACCGGGGAAGATTCTTTCTCTTGGTGGAAATTCTGATAAGATTCCTTCGGAGGTTCAGGAAAATTGTTTCCTTCGGTTGGATTAGTAATCGGCACTAGAGCCCCGAGATTCGATTTAGGCAGCATAATCGTATTAGTCGACCCAGTGTTAGTCTGGTCCTTTCCATAATCCTGAGATATTTTAGTAAGAGGATCGTTAGTGATTAAGACGCGTGAAGTGTTCTGGGATACCGGAAGGCGCTTATTATTTTGATCCTTGCTTTCAATTTTCAAAAAACTTATCTCCTCTCTCGCGCTCTTTTTTATATCCGAGTTTCCAAAATTCTCCAAAGACCCCAAAGACTCATTTTCACTGGATCCAGAATCATCCGTAATTTCGTGAGCCACGTTTACTTTTACCGATTCCATGGATTCCGAATCATTACGATTCTCTATCGCGTTTGTTCTGCCCCCAGTTGGCTCACCCTGTTGTAATTTCTTCATCAGCTCCACAAGTTCCTTTTGCTTCTTCTCCAGGGTATCTAACCTCTTCTTGATCAAGGTATCCTCGTCGTCCTCGTCCTTGAAGAAGCTCCAAGAGAACGGAGGCAGGGATCTGGATGATCTTGAATAGAACCAATCGGACCTGGGATCATTTTTGTTAATCTCGTATTGTTGCTCCGAATACAGTTGAGGTCGGATGCTGCGACGGTCTCCTGGATTTCCTAAAATTCGCACAGTACTCAATTTTCGAAATTTACCTACAGTCTCTTCAATTTTACCTTAAATTTACTAAACAAGCGTAACTTACCCATGATCTGGGTCCATTGCACCATCAGGCCTAGGACAGCGAGATACAGCACTGCCTTTAACATCTTACCCAGTGGATTCAGGTGCAGCAATTGTCAAGCTCCAGACCTAACTGAGGTCCTGGTGCATCCCGGTACAGTATATATACCATCAAGGTGCACTAGGCATTACTGGATAACCATTAGGTTAATGGGAGGGCCCTATCTGAACCTATCTCCAAGTGACAGGGTCCAGTCCCGTTAGTGCATTGTGGGTCCCGCTCTGTAAACTGACTCGGGCCCCAAAAAGTCTTCAGCTTACTTACTTACGTTAAAAAAGAAAAAAGAAGAAAACAAGCTACCCAAAAATTTCATCCACCATAAAACTCCCTGGTGGACCTTAGAATTCCTCAAGAGCTTCTAGACGCTGTTTACCGGGGTCAAGGACCCCGAAGTTGATCCTGAAGAATGATTAGAAGTGTCCAACCGTATATTTCCTATTCACATGAGACTCTTCAAAGACCACTGACCAAATCCTCTTTGGTTAACGTCAGTCTCGGGAGACCCAGAGACTGGGACAAGTGTTAGTGAAGTTTGGTCGAGCATATTTTTTTCACTTTTTCTTCTCTTTATTATTTTTTTTAATTATACCCCAAAAACCGGTCCCACCCGAAACGCTCCAAATCGTAGCCAGCGCTACTACCGTCGGCTTTTATTACCGTCTTGAAAAACAATGAATTAGTCGGTTTCCACAAGTGGAAGAATCTTTCGGGGAAGGTAAGCAACTTTCGAGTGGGTATTCCCGAGGTGACGTCAGCTAATCAAAACAATAACTTATCTACATATTACGAGTTGATTATTCCACCGATTAGTGCGCGAGGCTACGATTATGTAGCCATACGTGATTCCTCATATGATTTGGGACACGCGGTGGGAGTAAATTATTAATTTATTCTTTTTTTATCACGTGGGGTAATGCCCTGAACAGTTTCCCACGTGGGTACAACTTTCTTCTAACTATCCGTGTCTTGGCTCTACGAGTAAGTTTTATTTGTCTTTGAAATATCGAAGACGGTTTTACTTGAAAAAAGAAATTAGCATGATTTTCTAAGACCAAAAAAAGTAGTAGAAGATCACGAGTTTATGAGATTCCACGAAGCTTACTCAATTGGCATCAATTTGTCGATCGCGAGAGATAAGCGATTGATCGATTAAATTGATCGATAGAATTGCTATTGCTGATTATCGAGGTCAAAGGCAAACAAATTATTTACCTAGTTTACTAGTTACTTACCGTGAAGTAAATCAATTCCTGTCACTTATTCACCCTACTATCCACTTATCAGTTAAAAAGATCGATCATCTCGAACGAACCAGGATACGTGATTTCAATCATCAGGAATCATGTCACGATCTCTCAGGTGTATCATCCTTAATAACAATCATGATTTCTCGTGGATATTAAATGAGGAATTATGAAAAAAAAAAATCTATCAAGTTATAAATTTTTGATAAACAGTAAAATATTATTTGATTTTCATCGGGTGACGTTTGTATGAAAAAGTATTAATGACAGTAAAAAAAATTAATTATACACAAGTCTGTAATCAACCACGTGTCATTAACCGATTATCCACGCTCGATTAACGATCTAGATATCCATGGCTTTGATTTTATTCCTGAATCAGTTATTCTTTTTTTATTTTTCATTTTTTCTTCGTCTGCACGACTCTCCAGTCATAGGGTAATTCCAGGATGAAATTAGCACGGGTCTGTCAGTCTTATATTATACTAATGACACGCGAATTCCCTTGGATGTTTTTCATTGGCCAATTTAGAATTGGTCTTATCTCCGAATGATGATCGTGAGAAAGGATCGTCTCATCTTGACGTTTCCTACGTCTTTGCCTGGGCTGACCTTGGCAATGATCTTGTAACGATTATAGCTCTCGGAGATGATGTCGTCATTCGAAAACGTTCCTCCTATTTAAATACCGAATGCCGGCTGTATTTATTAATATGATATATTATCAGTCATTTCTCAGAACATCAAACTCCACTTGTGATAACCTCGTGCAGATAAAATACAAGTATTTAAAAAAACATAAAAAATCTTTCCCTTGAAACTTCCAAGAATCTCTTATTACATCTTCTTATCTAAATCGATCTTGTGTCAGCGTATTAATTCATATGATATCACACGTATGTGTGACTGCAGTAACGTGAGCGTTAAATTATTTATTTACTTTGCAAATCGCATGATGTGTTCGACCCGAATCATCCCGTGTGTACATATGTCAAAAATAGTTATTAAAAAACTTGAGAAGAGGTTTGGGTCTTACAGTATGTGATCGTGTGTGACATGTGTGTAAAGCGTAGGAGGGGACTGATAATAAATCGCGTGTACAGTCAGAGTCACGTTTCTTTTCGGTAAGGTATTTCCTACGTGTAACTTTTGAGGAGCGAAGGAAGATAGGAAATTGAGGAAAAAACAGAAAGAAGAAAGAAATAGATAACGATGTTATCTGGGGGCAGATGAGTTTTATCTATATTTATAGCCTGTTCCCGGAAAACAAACTGGACACGTAATTGTCGAAATATGCGAAAAAGTATAGATTATCAAAATTCGATAAGGAGGGTTCGCACGAATTTTTCAAAAAACTCAATAATCCATGGCGCGACGACTGTCGACCGGCATTTTCGAAAATTTTCAAAGCGACGACCGTGCTCGGCTTAATTTGAAAATGAGGAATTTGTGAAAATTACGGAAAAGTTTTTACACGAAGAAAGTGTCGATCAGCTGATATATTCTTTCGAATCTTTTTTTCCAGTTTTATTGACTTTTGGGCCCAAGGCCGTAGAGGGGGGGAAGGGGCCCGATGGGCGTTTCTTGACTCTCGGCGATCGATAGGTGACTGTCGGCTTGTGTCGAGAGTAGTTTTTACCACGGTACATCGCATTCCGAAGATCCGCGAGGGAGAGCCTGGAGGCTACAACTCGAAGCCATCCGAATCCTATATAAGATGATCGCGACGCCTTCGAACTTAGTCATTCTCATACGAACTGCGCGGCTGCAAAGAACAGACAAGGTTCTACGTAGAATTTCGTGAGCAAGACCTTTGACCTTTTTCATTTACGTCGATCCTGCACGTCCCGTACAAGGATCAGGATGGGAGTGAGGATTTGTATCCTGTTGACAGTTTTCAGCGCAGTTGGTATCCTCTCTGAGGACAGGCTACCACAGTATAGACAAGTGCGAAGTAAGTCAAGTCAACAAGAATTCTATAGAGAACCTGATCTTGTATCGTTGTAACCATGGCGTAGCGTGTAAATGAAAAAAAAAAAGTAACCTTGGATTTTGGATATTCATATTTTCCCCATTAATTTTTCTTCACTTCCATACACACCGGGCACTGATAAGCGTCAGGCTTGGTGCGATTCGACGTTTCTAATTGCTTCTCGGACACTAATCTCTTACCTGGAAAGGATCGATAAGGAATTTTAAAAGCCTCAAGGCCGTCGGTTGAACGTAAAAATAAAATCATCCAACGTGCCTCCTGACAATACAGGATTATGTAAAGTATGTGAGCTTGTTACACCTGAGAAATCTCATGGCTTCGTTTATTTGTGATCTGCGCGTTACGTCATCCTCTTGGGTTAAACCTGACGACGCCAGGCGAATGGTAGTTTGAAAATTAGAGATATTAGATTGTTCAAAGGGAAAGACGCATTGGGGATAGCACGAAAAAATTCATCGCGTCAATGTTCATGACCACCTTTTGCTTAGTACCTTACTGCTATCTGCTAATGAAAATTTTCTTATCGGATTTCCCCGAGAAATCCGCTGGTCGGATTTTCATGGGAGCTTCCGGGCGATACTTATCGCAGCTGTGAGAATAGGCCATTAGAATTTAGTTGGAGTATCCAGTGTTTATGATATGCAGGTAAACAGGACGTCGAAGAGAAATATTTGGATACGGTTGGCTGGTGTCTCCTTTGAGTAGGAATCATGGTCATTAGCGTTAATTCTGGGTTTTTTCACGTAAACGTGTATCGCTCAAAGAGATCCGCGCTTGAGGATGACGCTGCTAGCATGCATGTAGAATAATTATTTTTTTGTGAAACGTGGAGAAAAATTTCTTAAATAATAATGCGAATCGAACGTAGATGCCTGTCGCGCCCAAAAGGTCCATAGAGTGTGTCGTGAGATCATCAGATTTAAAAATTCTAAACTGACGTCACTTGCGTTTCACCCGAAGCTTAAATATTCCGCGTGCGTCTCGATTGTATTTAACGGAGGCGAATTCCTGCGCTTTGCATCCTTTGACTCGTCTTTCTCTTTTGTTTCCCTGCGTTCAAAAGGTAGACAGCCATTCCCCAGTCTCGCACTGAAGGATCTTTTCGCCGACGAGTTGGACGTAGAGGGTCCGATTTTTGCGACGAAGCCACAAAAGCGTGACGTCAGCCACGTTTTAAGCGGAACTGCCAAATCCCCATCTGGCGCAGCTTCCGGTGCGGGTAGCTTCGCAAGCTCCGGTAGCTTCGCCGGAAGTTCGTCTTTCCCATCGAAGTCAAGTGTTGGGACGCAAGGTGGATACACTGGTGGTGGAACTGGTGCAGGTTACGCAGGCGCCGGTACAGGTAAGTGGCGGACATAGAAAAAATAAATAAAAAACAAAGTGGGTGGAAAAAATATTTTTGAGATTTGTCTTTTTTTTTTGAAGGTGGCGGATCAGGGTACTCGGGTATAGGAACCTCCTACACACCCAACTCGGGATTCCAGGATTATTATTCAAATCAAAATCAAGCCTCCTCTTATCCTTATTATCCCTCGCAGAATATTGTACCGTATTTCGGGCCGGGATTCGATTTTCAAAATTTCCTCCAGCAATATTTCAGTAATCTTCAAGCGCAGCAGGAAGCCTTCCAGGCTCAGCTTCAAGCGCAGCAACAAGCGTGAGTGACGACTTTCTCATCGTTTCTAATGTGATTTCTTTTTTATTCTCAAATTCTTTGTCGCGGCTAAAAAGGAACTAATCATCCTAAGCATATTAATCGTTTACTTTGATTCCTGGTGGTGGTTCAATTTCCGTTTCGCTTTATTCTTCGGCATCCAGTGCTGCATCCTCCTGGGCAGGCTCCGGTGCTTACATGACAAATCCTGATGGAACTATCGATCCAAACGCTAGAGTCCATTCCTATAGTCACTCAACGCCAGGAATGGCCGTAGCCACCTCGGCTGTTCAATCCGATTCTGGCTACGGTGGATCCTACAGTTCGTCCCGTGGGAATAGGTGATGGTTTCCTTATTCCTATAGATAACGGTGGCTCAGAAACTGAACTCTGGATTAAACTCTTATCAGATTCTTCGAGATGAACAACCGACTCGGCTACGGATTCCCATACGCCCAGCAAATCCCGAATACCTATGCAGCTAATACTGGATCAGGATTTGGAGGAGCTGCTGGGGGATTCGGTTCACCTGCAGGAGGTTACAGTGGATCCGCCTCAGGATCGGGACCTCACGTTGCAACAGCCAGTGCCAACCTGGGACCACAGGGTGGGCACCAATCGGCCAGTATCAGTCCAGTAAGTTCTTTTTTACTCTAACTTCCCTTAATCATCTAATTAGTCCAGTGGAAAATTTAATGTTGATATTTTTTAATTCAGGCTGCTCCTGGAATTTTTTCACGCTTCGGTGAAAGCGTTCCACCGCCTTCCGGAAACAGTTTCGGAGTCTTCACCAGCTCCAGCTCTGGACACTCGGTTGGTCCGGATGGCAAGGAAACCTCATACAAATCCGCCACCACGGGAGTCAATGACAATGGAAAAGTTTCATACCACACTGTACGTGATCCTTAAGCAGTTGTCACACTAAAAGCACTCACTGACAGTTTACGAATAATCGCTGCTTCTCCAATTTATAAAAAACAAATTGGTATATCGTTATTGTGATGTCCTGTGGTCGACAGGTGACTGCTTATGTATTTTGTACGTACGTGTAATCATGACGTAATCACGAATAACGGAATCACGTATAAATTATGGGCACGCGAAAATGGCGTGACTGTTATTGAATTTTTTTTATATTTATTTGGTATTATTTGTATTGCTATGTGCTAGTAAAAAAAAAGGTACGCTAGCGTCACGAGTCTTTCTTTTTTTTTTTTACTAATTTATTATGTAAAATAATATATTTTTCAAAAAAAATATTCCCCTTGCCCCTACCCGTGCCCTGCCCATTTTCTACACTCTCTAGTATGTAACTTTGAGTATGAGGAAAGACGTAAAGTTCTGCAGCCCATTTCCTGTCAGTTTCCAGAAAACAGGGTAGTCACTCGATAAATTAGAATGTTAAAGAGAATGAAGTCCGTATGCTTTTTCCAGCCCTGTACCTCATAATTAAACCATCCCTTTGCCAGAGAGTACCCAAGCGTAACCACCCCCCGATTCTTGAAAGAGATTCCATCTGCCTTCCCATTTCTTTCCACTTCCTATTACTCCGACCCCCAAATTCACATAAGGGATTAGCTCCATCGCGATAGAACAAAAAGTATTTTGTTCATTTACCCTGAAAACGATCCATTCGTATTTTACTCCTGGCTGCTCTTGGTCTTGCTAAGGGGTGGCTCTATTTTATCATCCACCAGGACCCTCCTTGTCGTCCATGTTCTGCCAGCTGTCTGTGGCCCTTTGAAAGGGTGTTCCAAATTGCGGGCGCGGTGCCAGGACTCTTGCGGTGTCAGATAAATTTTTGGCAGATGATACCAGGAGTCGAAATCAGGAGAGTCCTGTCTGTGAATGGGAACCTGAAAAGGGCGGAGAGTAAAGAAATGAGAAATGGCTAAAAGCTTCTTCAAATTTTTCATAAGACCAAAAATTTCACTTCTGTCCTTGTACCTTACCTGAGGGATGTTATTGTCAAAGTAATGAGGATGAAGCGGAAGTGGCTGCTCGAAAAAATGAAAGGCAGGAACCTGCTCGTAATTTCCGGGATTCCGAATTCCGTCGATGACCGGCACGTCGTCGATTTTTGTATTTTTTTTTATTTTTGTCACGACACTCAAATGTACGTCAGTCACCAAATTTCCATCGGCATCCGGATTCGTAGTTACTCGTACGTTGCAAACGCCGTTTTTACAGGCATTCTCACCGGAACCTGTTTCGTTGCCATTAACAATAATGTGAATATTATTCACAACTGTCGGTTTACCCATAGATGGAATATCCTGAAAGATTTTAAATGTCAGAAATTATTTTTTTTTTTCATAAATTCAAACGTATGACAAAAGCATCTGCTTTGCATCGATGCTGTATTTTCTACTCGTTTGCCCACCCTTGTTCAGTGACGTCGCTTGGGCCACCAATCGCCATTTGAATTTATTACGACTACAAAACCACAGATATTTATGAGGCGTCATTTTCGAAATGACCTCTCAAATCCGCTTTAAACTCTTTTATACCGGCAGTTTCATTTTGACCGTGCAATAAATTTCATAACTGCCGTCAGCATACGAGGGACGCGTTTGTATCCCGACTCAATTGAACTATAGACTTACGTATCCCAAATCGAAAGGTCTCTCTTGTCTTTTTTTATTTTGAAAAAGTTGCTCGATGCTTATAAAATCATCTTTTGGCTTTCCAATTTGTGCCCCGAATTCTCCCAGCCGTTCGTTCAGGGTGAATCCTGGTGACTTTGGCCCCGCTCCTGCACCCTGGTTCAAGTCGACAAAAGCCTTAAGAACCGAAGTGCTCAAAGTGCTTGGCAGACTTGGTTTCTCTTCCGAATCAAGATCGATCTTCGAAGATATATCGCTCGCCAAAGAAACCACTGCAGTTGCAAAAAGGATAATCGATACCGATAAAGGAACCATCGCTCGAGTTAGATACATCTCAAACGAAAGACACTTGAACACTGAGCTCAAGATCTAGTGCAAGAATCCTTTTTGGCCATGAAACTGAGGAGCCTCCCACAAGTGGAAGGGATAATAGCCCGAGGATGTGTAATAATGACCCAGCGAAAATTACGTTGACCTCCGTCGACGCCAGCGCGATAAAACAGCCGTGAAGACGCGCCAAGCTCTTTGTTTCAAGTTTGAAAAAGACGCGAGGCGAAAAGAAAAAAGAGAACAAAGTTACAAGAGGAGCAAAATATTCCCAAAGAAGTTCAAATAACGCGTTCAGAGTCCAATTCATTCCCAGAATTAACAGATACCAATTTACCAATAAACTACACTTACGCGAATTTCGTATACATAAAAAAAACGGTAACGCGAATTTCGTATACGTAAAAAAAACGGTACTCTTTTTTTTTGTCCCGTTAGTTGAACCGTTTGAAAATACGAAATACCACAAAAGAGAGAAAAGCATAATTGGACACTATTTATTCCGAAAATAATTAACACGCAGGCAATGGATTCGACCTATCGTGCAAAATCGAGTTCCCGTTATGTTCCCTAATGGGAAGTCCCATTCAATGGATCCCGGTGCGAATGAAACAGTCGAGCAGCCCTTGTGTGCCAAGGGGTAGTTTTAAAGTACATCCCTCCCACGGCGAACCCAGGGAATTGTACTCGGTAGCCGAGCTAAAGCAATTTTAGATCCTGTTGCGAGCCCCCTTAACGTTTGACTAAAGTTCATGACAAACAAGGGGGTGGCGGGGGGGGGCGG